TCATGGCAGCCTTGTTTGCAGGACAGACACAGGAAGTGTTGCCATGGGGATATGCATTTGATTTAGGTTCACTGAGATGTACATTACTGTTTCAATCAGCCTGACTTTTTATTACGTTCTGAAAGGAAATTTCAAATTTTGACAAATAAAAATAAATAGTGATTCGACTCCACGTTGGTGGTTAATGGCAGGTCACAAAATATAGCTTTAGTAGATTTTATTGTGGCAGTACCTTCTGCAATTAGGGTAATTATTACATTTTGAGTCTGGTTCTTTATACCCTGTGTCTGTGGTCCTCCAGGAAACAACAGCACAGGTGCAACTGTTTGGTTTGGACTAAGCTCAGCGTTCCATAATGTGAATCATGAATGYATGTGTGTATTGAATGAAGGTCAAGCGCAGACTAGATTCTAACGGACCATGCTCATATCCATCATTTTGAGAACAAAGTCACATCACTGATTATCACAAAAGAATGTACTTAATTTAAGTGAGATTTTGACTCTTAATTCACTAAAGGATGACTCGGCATGTTTAGTCCTTTGAGCTGAGTTTTAATTTGCTTTTCAAATGTGAAAACAACATAAAATAAAATAATGATTCTCTGAATGGTCAAACACTGGGCATCCATCAACAAATTAATTTTTTTGACATTCATACTAGCACAAAGGAATACCCACTCTGCTGTGTTGAGTTAACTTTTAAGTATTCAGTGCAGTTTTTCCTCATTTCTTAATCATTGTTCTTATTTTTGGTCATTTATCATGTTTCCACATTGGAAAATGCATCCAAATCCATCTATCAGTCTTTCTTTTTACAACTGTAAAAGTGTTTTTGACGAATCCTTTAAAAGGCCAAATGCATGGAGTCATCTGCATTCCACTGTGTGTGGTTTTCTCTTTTGTTTAGTACAAAGCCCCATTCACATCGAAGAACTGAAGATTTTTACAGTTCTCAAATGGATAAAGATGAAGAGCCAAACTCTAATATTGTATCATGAACATCTTTGAGGTCTCATTGTGGAAAAGATACTTGAGAGAATAAGCAAAACCTGTCTATTTTAAACTAAAACATACACACACCTACTATGTCTCTATATCCTTGTGGGGACTCTCCATTGACTTCCATTCATTTTTTGGAAATTTTATATCCTAACCCTGACCATTTACCCTAAAATTAACCTCACATGTACCTACCTGATCCCGAAACTAAACCTCCTAAACCCTCCTTTGACCAGAGTCATGAATAAATTTGCTTCTCAGTAACAGAAGAGCAATAATTATGTACAAAAAATAAAACACTACAAGACATTGTAATGCTGTTTTATTATTTTCATTTGTTTAATAAATGCACTGTCGTGATACAACTTAGTACATGTTTGATTGCTTTTGGAGATGAGCCTATTTTGGAGTTGTAGCCCCCCGGAGAAAAATCCACCAGCCGCAACTGATCCGGAAGAGCAGTGTGGTTTTCATCATTGTCGTGGAACACTGGACCAGCTCTACACCCTCAGCAGGGTCCTGGAGGGTGCATGGGAGTTCGCTCAACCAGTCTACATGTGTTTTCTTGACTTAGAGAAGGCATTCGACCATGTCCTTTGGGGAGTCCTGTGGGGGGTACTCCAGGACTATGGGGTACCAAGTCCTTTGTTATGAGCTGTTAGGTCTCTGTACGACTGGTGTCAGAGTTTGGTCCRCATTGCCAGTAGTAAGTAGGGGTCGTTTCCAGTGAGAGCTGTCACCGATTCTGTTCATAACTTTTATGAACAGAAGGAAGCAGCCAAGTTTTTAGATTTTATTAGCCTTTATTGTCTCGCAGAGGGGAAATTAATTCTCTGCATTTTACCCAACGCACATGTGAACACACACGTGGGCTGCTAATTACAGCACCCGGGTTAAGGGCCTTGCTCAAGGGCCCAAGGTGGGGCTGGTTGGTTCAGGGAGTTGAACCGGTGACAGACTCATCTTCTCTAACCTCTGCTGCACCACCACTCTCTTTAATGCTGATTAACGTTTGAAACATATCTGAGCAAACCTGGAAAACTCAGCTGTCTGTATTTTAGCAACTGTTAGCGATGTCTGGGGCAAGCACCGACTGCTTCCATGGGCAAAGTTTTGACAGTGAGCCGGGCCGGTCCCTTCAGCTCTGCATCCCAGGGAAGGAGTCAAACCCATTGCGTCTCAATGCATATTATCAGGCATACAAATGATTAATGAGTGCCTTCCAACCTCCTAGGAGGTAGAGGAGGGACAGTCTGCACACAATGTATGAGACTGATAACCGTGAATAATGGCCATTTAATGCATTGACAACATTTATTGCTTGCAAGAGGAAATAGCTTCAGTCCACAYTAACAGGGACACATCTTATATAGTTCCTCCTTAGGACCTGCCTCAGATGTTCATGTTCTCTGAGTTAAAAGCTTTTTTGAGTTTATCCAAAAATCTAGAGCACCAACTAACAGTTAGAGATC